TCAGTGATTACTAATGAGAGGAAAGAAAGAATGCATAGGTGGAGCACAAAGGATTCTTAGGGCAATGAAACTATTAAATGATCCTGCAGTGAGACACATGGTACTATATATTTATCAAAGCCCATAGAATATGTAATACAAAGACTGATTCCCTAATGAAAACTTTAGTTAATAATGATATATCAATATTTGTTATAATAAATGTATCACATTAATAATGTAAGATGTTAATAATGGGGAAGTGGAGGAAGAGATAAAAGTGGGCAAGAGATAAAAGAGAACCCTGTATATTCAATTTTTCTGAAAATTTAAACTATTTTTAAAAGTCTCATAATTTAAAGTATGCAAAAAATTGTCTAGAATAGCTCCCTTTGATATAAGAAAAAAGAGGGGAAATAAATATACATATTCTTGTTTACTTTAGCAAAAGAAAAACTAGACAAAGAAAAACTAATGAGACTAGTTACCTACACAGTGGAAGTAAGAGGGCACTGACACTTGGTCTAACTTCTCTGCCTATGTTAATGTTTTACATACTGCAAAAAATAATCAATGAGGGTGGACTGAAACCTAAAACTGAATTCAAACAATAACTAAAACTATCTAACTCAATTTTATTTCAAAAAGTAACATCATCAGGGTAAATGCAGGAAAATGAAAAGCAGATTAATCCCAGTGTCATTTGAAGTCAGTATTTAGGCTGTTGAAACTCATGTTCATAGAATACTAATGCTATGGCAGTCTTGTGAAAAGCAATAATAAAATCAAGTAAAACCAGAATCCGATTAAGGCACTAGATCAGTGCTGACCCACAAAAATATAATGCACGGCATACATACTTTTAAATTTTCTTGTAACCACATTATAAATAATAAAACAAACTAGGTGCGAAACAATTAAAAATATGATTTCAACAATCAATATAAAAAGTATTAAATAGTACATAGTTTTCTGTAATAAATCTTCCAAATTATTATGAATTTTATACTCACAACACATCTTAACTTGAACTAGACACATTTCAAGTGTTCAATAGCTATATGTAGCTAGTTGCTACCATAATGCACAGTACAGCACATCCAAGAACCAATTGATGAGAAATAAATAGTCAAATGAACATGTTAACCTCACCATAGGGATTAGAACAGCAAAATCCTGACTATGGGAAATTCAATAGGTTTCTTCAACAAATTAATGGCAAGGAAAAAGGTGAGATTGAGGAAGCTGTAGACTAAGAGATTTAAAATCAAAGGAGGAGGAGGAGGAAAAAAAACCAGGAAAATCAGAAATGTAATGTTTAGAAATTCACACAAGTGATAAAAATAATTTAGAAAAGCAAAGAAGTCATTATCACAAATGTGGACTGGTTGCATTTGAGGAAAAAATGGAGGTTTTAATCAGAATGAAGCATAGGAGAGCTTCTGGGCTATCTAATAAAGTGTGTGCATCTTATAAAAGATGAATCCATACAAATCTATACCTTTTGTTTGAAGCAGTTTTCCATTTGTTATGTTACAATTAAAATGTTCAGTAAATACATATTAGATGGAAAATTTTGAGATTAACAATAGCACACCCTTGGGGCTGGGGTTGTGGCTCAAGCCGCAGCGCGCTCACCTGGCATGCGTGTGGCCCGGGTTCGATCCTCAGCACCACATACAAACAAAGATGTTGTGTCCGCCGAGAACTAAAAAATCAATATTAAAAATTCTCTCTCTCTCACACACACCACTGTCTCTCTCCTCTCTCACTCTCTCTTTAAAAAAAAAAAAAAAAAAAACAAAACAATAGCACACCCTATCCCCAAACTTAACACCTCTATTCCCCCAGTTTCTAATCTTCTAGAATAAAATATCTTTACTCTTATTTGAGACCAACACCCCCTCCAGTCTCTTCAGGACTCCTGGCCCACTAATCATCATTTCTCTTTTCCATCTTTATCTCCACCTTCCTATTGAGGCACTATAGGAAAATGGCAAATAACTGGGCTCTTATTTCAGAAAACCAGGGCTCAAATTCTGGTTATACTATTTAACTTGTTGTCTGATCCTCAACAAGTAACAATCTGTCTGTGATTAACTCTCCTCATTAAAGGAGGAAAATAAGAGTACCTAAGTCATAGGTTTGATCTACTTTTTAATTAATATACATAAATCCCTTTGGAAAGAGCCTGGAATCTAGTGCATTTTCAATAAAGATTAGCTGTTATCGTTATCCTGCCACCTCCACCATCACCTCCATACCTTCAGTATACACATACATACACTCAGGTTTTCCAGTTTCATCTAAATCCTTTCCTTAACTCCATGTCCCTCTCTACTTGTGTACTCCTTCCCTTTTGCCTTAAAGCATCACAGATCACCAAACTGCTATATGTATGGGCAACATTTTAATACATATTTTACTGCCTCCACTGGAGCATTTGATACTGTTGTTTTTAACCCCAATTCTCTCCACCTTGAGTTCTGTGACACTATTCTTTTAGCTGTCCTGCTTTTGAGATGATATGATTATCATCAATTCTAAAATACCCTGTACCTGCAGCTTAGATGCTGCTGTCCTTCTATTTGTCATTTTCATTCCACTTTGAAAGTACTGTCCAAGTGATCTGATTCGTATTCACAGTTTGAATAAGTACCTACAGGCAGCTAACCTAAGTCTTCCAGCTCTGAACTCTTATAAGCTTTAGATAGTATTTACCTAAATACCAGCTGGACCTGGATGTCAAAATGCCCAATACTGCATTCACTTCAGATTTGTTCCTCCCTCCTATTCATTCTCCGGTAATGCATTATTATCTACCTGACCACCATGGCAGAAACCCAAGTGCAATTCTAGGTCTCTTCTCTATCCTTTTCGCCAACATCCAATCATTGGGCTTACTGATTTTACCTATAAATTTCTTAGAAATTATTTCTTTCTCATCTTTACTATAACCACCCTAATTGGGGCCTGCAGCATCTCTCATCTGGAATACAAAAAGGGAATAAGAAGTCCTTGCAGACTTCTAAAGCTACTTTCTTTTCTACTTTATTTTAAAGCAAAGTAGAACTGCCCAGAGTTGCCTGAACTTAACATGCTTGATGTTTGTATATATTGTTATACTGCTTCCTCTGCCTGGAATGTTCTTTCTCAACTTTTTATTAGATTCCTTCATTTTTCAAGATGCTGTTAAGATACCATAACCAGGGAAAAAACTTCATAGCTGGGCAAAGTTGCGCATGCCTGTAACCCCAATGACTAGGGGAGGCTAAAACAGAAGGACTGCAAGTTTGAGGGCTGCCTGGGCAACTTAGCAAGACCAGACTCTCACTCAAAGGGGGGAGGGGGGAGTTGGAGATGTAGCACAGAGGTAGAGTGCTCCTGGGTTCAAATGCCAGTACTTAAAAAAGGAAAAGAAAAAACCTTCATAAAGCCCAGGATAGGTTAAATTCTCTCCCTCTATACCCCATAGCATCTCAACTACATTGTTATTATTGCACTTACCCAATCTATTTTTAATTTTTCTTAATGTCTTCTTCTACTGAACAGTTATTTCCAAGGGCAGAGACTATTTTACTGATCTTTATATTTTTAGTGCTTAGCACAGACTTGGCACGAGGCAGGTATAATATATTTTGTTAAAAGGAGGTAGCTATTTTCCACTTATTACTGCCAAATGAACAAGTTTTAATTTGATTTTCATCACATCATGATGCTGTTCAAAAACATTTAAGGCTTGTCACATTATAAAGTACAAATATCTTTACATTTATCCCCCATGACAAAACTCCACACTATCTACACAGTTTTATCTTGCACCACACTCCTTCCTTTTATTTACCCTTGATTCTAAACTAGTCTACTCAGCTTTCCAAACTGACCTTTTGATCTCTGCCTCCCCATACCTTTAGAACCCATAAAATTCCAGCCCTTTAAAATCAATACTTAGTAACTCCTTAGCAATTAACCCAGGATCTGTATGATATTAAAAGCATTGTAATGGAATCCTGAATTGAACAGTCAGAAATAACTTCCATGTCACCAGCAATTGAGTAGTAGGGGCAAAGCTTAGATAACTTTTGTCCAACTCAGAAAAGATATTATATTAAGAAAAACATTGAGCTTTTATTTTCTGTCTTACCCACCTTTTTTTCCTCCAATCCAGCCTTCCTTCACCTTGAACAGCTTGAAGCTCATCAGAAATGAGGAAGAAAGAAGTGCCTAGTGTAGGATTTCTTTCCCAAAAGCTATGCTGTTTTTGTCAATCAAAATTCTAACATGAATAAGTTCTAGATGGCCAGAATTCCAGTAAGAAAATCAATGTCCTGAAACCTTTGGTGTGTGGTCTTTTGATCCTATCATATTACCTCCTCCTAAGTGCCCCTACAAAGACCAACTATTTGTTTTTGGAAGAAGAGGTGCAATCAGGAAAATAGTAGGCACTAATGATTAGCATTAAGTCAAAAAAAGAAGAAAGTCTGACTCAAACACCTCCAAACACTCTGAAGGTAACTGTGCTACTAAAAGGGAAGGAGAGGATCACCAGTGCAAAATCTTCCAAAGAATATCTAATTCCCTCTGAGTTCTTATATTTATAACATGAGCGACTAGTGGAAGGAAAATTAATAGGGCAAAAATAAGACAGAACAAAAAGTACATGTAGTTATTCAAAAACTTCAAAATCATTTGTAAAAATAATATAACACACTAAGGCACTCCCATTGAGACTTCTATTACAATAACCAACCAAACTACAAAATTTCAGGATTGGTTCTTAAAAGAATAAAAAACAATATTAAAGTATTCAACTTTTATTCAACTTTGCATTAGCCAAATAGAAGCTAGTTAGAAACGGAAGGTATCCTCTGTGTGTCCCACATGCCTGGCACAGTACCTGGGACATAACATATGAATGTAGAGGGAAGAGAGGGAATTTAGATTTTTAAAAAATATTCAATAGATAACTTTGCAGGTGCTAGGGCATAGGGATAACATGAAATACATATTTTAAGACTAACCTCTGATTTTACTGTAGTTTTGAGTCCTTTGGGAACTAAATCTGGATAAATAAAGCTTAACTTCATCTCCAAAGTTCTAAAATCTTGATTGAGCTTCAACTGCAATTATCAGGTCTTTATCTAAATATTCAGATAGAAAAACAAATTTCAAAAGTCATCCATTTGATTCCATTCAATTTGATGTCTAGTTTAGACAATCTTCAACTAAATTAAAACCACATTTTCTCAACAGAAAAAGCTTTCAGCTAAAAAAAAAAAAAAAATCCTCAGGTGTACTCAGAATCAAAAAGAAGCATATAACAAGATTTTCCGAGGCACTTAATACACATTTATATCCTCTAATTGTAAAATAGATGACACCAACAGAAAAGTAGCACAGGATTTGCAGCCAACAGTCATCATAATTAAGCTAAAGAAAACTGTGTTTTTCTTATCATCTTTATTCAAGTATTTCACAGCAGTTATATTACAAATTACAGTAAATGTTCAAATTCCAGAATTCAAAAATTAAATAATTTACTTCAAACTAAGGTAAAATGAAGTCAAATGTAAAACATCAATTTAACACAATTCTAAATTAAACTACAAACCCAAAATAGACCATAGTTGATGAAGTCTACTTAATCTACAAAGTAGACATACATGACTGAAACCAAATAGGACTCCCAAATCTAAGTAACCAAATGTACAAAATACAAAAGATGCAAGTACAAGCCCAAATTCAAGCTTACAATATGATTACAAATAATAATTATAATAACAATGGCATTCAGCTACGGGACCTGACACTGAAGACACCTACTGAATAGCACCATAGCTGAATCAACTTAATCAGAAAAGGGAAGAAATGACCACCCCACTCCCTAAAAGTAAAATCCAGTAAACCTACAAATACATTGGCATATGAGAAAAATCAAGTCATAAAAGGACATTAAAAAAAACTCAATCACAGGTAAGATTCAAGCTCAAAAACACAATTAACTCCACAGCCATCAGTTTCAACCCTAATGTGGTTCTATCATCTTCAAAATGCTCCCAGAGTCCCTACAGCTGAGCATGAACTACTGCTGGGCTGGGCTGTGATATGTATTTTACTGATCTGAGAGCAAGATTTTACACTGGAGCTTATCATTTATAATGCTCACAATAGGAAATAAGAACAGAGGTCAATTTGTACATATTTTTGCCAATGCTATACAGCAAAAATTAAGAACTTACAGAAAGGTAAACAAAATTGAGTCCACTTGGATAATTTCACAAGCTGCTTTAAACTATAGAACCACCAGGTATTTGTAAAATAAGTGAAACTGGTTGTAGTGTGTTTCTTTCTTAGGGGGAAAAGGAGTCTGAAGAGTTGGTACAATTTCAGCTCATTTTTCTCCCCCTGGCATGAAATTGGCTTTCTCTTTAAGACCTAAACTGTTCAAAGTGGCAGTTCCTATACTGAGGTTGCCTCTGATTTCTCCATCTACATGAAGGATAAACAAAAACAAAATCTTGATCTTTTGGAAGCATTTTAATGCCAGACATAAATAAATTTCCCTTGTCAAACTCACTGATGGCTAAAATCTTAATTAACTTTTATAAATTTAGTAATCTACTAAGAACATGTGCGTTGTTTCTTTTTCCTTTCACAAGTGCTGCTGTTACTTGAACAGAATGCTTCTGAATTAGAGTAACTGGAATAAATAGTAAAAAAAAAAAAAAAAATAGTGCAGCAAGAACCTGAGACTTGCAAAAAACCCTTTTACCAGAAACTTGCTACAAAAAATCTGCTACATCTTATTTCATCAAATCTTTAAATTCTGTAACAATTTCCATCAAAATACAAAATGCTAATGTATTAGACAGTAAAATAGTTTGAACTGGTATGATGGTAATAAATACTAAAGAAAGCATGAAAATCCTCCCAATAATCAAATTAGAGGTTTCAAATAACCTCCCCTTTAAAATGGTTCATCGTTAATCGCACTTGCCCACCTTAAAAATACAGTGTGTCTACATGGGTATCATCTTGAATTATATGATAAACTGAATATTATGAAAACTTCATAGACTACGCATAAAGAAAAGAAGTGGCATTTTAGGAAAAAAAATGAAGCTAGAACTAGAAGGCAGTAAATGTAAAGGTAAATGCAAAGAAGCACTTGGGATTACTGCAGTAGCCTAGGCCAAAGTGTGCTTTCTGCACACTACAGACAGCCAGAGACAAGGAGACAAGTACCTTAGCTTCAGCATGTAAACGGTGGTAAAGTGATTACAGGACTCTGTAAACACTGTTGGTAACTAAAACACAAAAAGCTGAGGTAGCTCAGTATCTCTGCAGTAGTCCACGACCATGTGCCCTAATTAAAACTCAAACTACATGTGTTGCATATATTGGAAAGACACACCTGCAGCTAACAGCTATAATAAATGAAGATAGCAAGCCAACTTGTCGGCAAAATTTTCTACACTTTTTAAAAAAATTATCTGATAAAAAATGTTACTGCACTCCCTTTGCCTCTTTGCAACTGCCTAGACTGTGTCTCCAAATTTATAGAAAGTTTTTGTAAAACTAGTAACCCATAATTAATTTCAGGTAAGTAAAATTCACAGAAATCACTCAACAAGATCCAAAATAGATTCCAACCAAAATGAAGAGTTGTGAAGATAAGCTTATGAGAAGGGATTCAAACATTAATACTGTTATTCAAGGACCATACCAGAGCTCACTTGTAATTATACAGAAAATGAATTTTATGGAGCCTCTGACAAATTCCTCTTTTCTGTTCATTTGGCAAGTCCTGGCTTTAAAACAAAACAATAACAATTTATTACACATGAAAATCATTTTTCTCTGGGAACTCGAAGAACTATTAAATTGCCACTGACAGAAGAATGGCTACTATCCATTCTCTGGTCATCACTGTCAGCAATAAGGAGAAGTGTGTGAGTTTTTGTTATGGACTGTGCATTATTTATCATTGTTTTATCACATGTTTCTTACACAGAAACAGAAAAACTTACCATTTTTAGTATATTATGTGGTTTACTCAGTGTCTTGATTGAGCTTTGAGAACAAGACAGGCATCAATACCAAAACATTAGTTGTCTCTTAATGATACAGAGTATTGAAACTTATTGTCAAGGTTGTAACCAAAGAAAATATTTTAATTTATTTGCTACAAATGAGCTCATCCATTTAGCCTTATCTTTCTCAAATGAATAAAAAGGCACATTAAAGGCAGTTCTAAAGAGCCTAATCTAATTCCATCTGGTTTCTTCAGTTTCCCACCAGAATATATCATAGCCAACTTTAAAACAGGCTTCAGTCCATTACCCAGAGAGGGGAAAATATGATAAGAGATAAAAAAGGAAAAAGAAGGGGGGGAAAAAAGTGAAACCCAAAAAACAGGTTGCCCACTGTTTAAACAATCCAACACAGTTAGAACTGCCCACCCAGCTTCCTCCTGCTGCTGGTCTGCTCCCTAAGAGAATCTCCAGAAGACAGTGCACGAAAAGGAGGAGCAGAAGCAAAAGCAGTTTCTGTAGCACCAAAATCTCCAAGCTGTGGGGTTGTATTTTTTTATTTGTGGAAAATACAACAAATTTCTGAAGTTCTGTTTGGTTCTTGTAGGCTGGTTGGTTTCAGGTACCTGAGACAATAGCACCAAATTCAACAGAGAGAGAGAATGAGTGAGAGAGCACTTTACACCAAGGCTCTGCACATAATTGGTGCAATTTGAAAGTGAATGGCTCAGAAGACTGCTCTGTCAGGAGCAGATTGGAGAGGATCAACCACTCATCTTGAAAAGTTCATAGGAATGTCTCAAACATATGAACTGTTCTTTCCATCTCCTGTAAGAGAAAGAAATGCTTGTTATCTATTAAGGGAAAGACAAAGGTACTCCTCATTATGGATTAAATTCACATTAAATTTTTAGAGAAAAAAATTGAGATAGAAGTTCAAGTTGGAACATCTTCCTGATTACAATACCACAGCTACTCTGTAAGACAATCTGCCCTATGCAATTCCAAGTACCTCCTATTTGATATTTAGGCAAATGAGGATGATGAAGCTAGTTAACACTCTATGAGTAACTTGGAAGTAATATAAGAAAGAGGGTACAAGTCATATGAATATGAGAATGAAGATGGTGATAATAACAATCAATGAAAAGCTAATTATGCCAGGTATTGTACTAAGAAATAGACACACACGCACACACATAAATACGTAAATGCAGTAGACACATAAGATATATTTTTATGTAAATATATAAAAATTTTTATATATTATTTAACTTCATTTCTACAATAACATGTAAGGTTGAAGATAGATAATATTATGAGCCCCATTTCATAGATAAAGAAAGTGAAGCACAGAGGGGCAATCTAAATAAGCCAATAAGTGGCAGGGTCAGAATTTGAAGACAAGCAGACTCACTTCAGAGCCTGAGTCCTATATTCTATTAACTCCCAAAGCAAATTAAATGAAGTGCAGCAAAACATATGCCAAGAAATAGAATGTACCCTGTTCTCACTCTATCTCCTCCAACCAGAGCCAAAAAAGGATGGTGATGGGGAGAGACAGAACGAGTGGCAGCCATTACTGCTGGTTCTGCTATTAATTCCCTTTCTCCTTAAACTAGATTTCAAAACTCATTCTGAAATATTTCACTGCAAAATGATGATTCAATTCAAGCTAGTGAAACCACAACCATCTGAACAAAAGTTCTAGAATAAAAATGTAAATAATTGTACTCTGTATGCGTATTTCACTAGGATGGGCAAATGTCAAATACACCTAAGATACCTGGTTTTCTTTTCTCTCTTTAAATAGCTCCAATGAAATTCTATTCTACATCTCTGTAGAACTAATAGGCTATACTAACAAGTTATTGTCTGATCAACAAGTTCTTCTGTATGATCAATTAAAATCAGTCCTGCTAAACATTTTATTATATTACACAACATAGTATAGTTTTGTAAAAATGAAACTCATAAAAATTTTGAAAGTTCTCATTTTAATTCTAATACTCTTTATTACACATGAGAAACAGCCATATTTCCTAAGTATAAATCTTTAATATCTTTACCAAAAGAAATTACCCTTGGGAACAGGTACTTTGTCTTTATCATAGTTTACATCCCAAATACCTGGCACAGTAGCTGGCACTCTAGGTTACTCAATAAATAATTAATAGCCAGACCATAACAAGCAAGTGAACCAACAGAATCTAAACCATTTAGCCATTCAGTATAGGTAGGGGATTATAGTTGCTCAAATGATCTCAAAAATCAGAAGTGTGGTTTAATGATGTAAATTATATGAATAGAGCTAGAAGCTCATTTATAAGGGAAGACCTTCCCTATGGTTCTTTAAAAAAAAAAAAAAAGGAATGGTCCATCTCTAAAAGTGTCTAAGCAAAAATATAAGTACTGATTCATGTGGCTATTTTACAGGACTAGTTTGATTAGATGAGATGACTTTTAGCTCTCTTCCAACTATTAATGATGTGGCAAATGGGTTTCATTGACCCTGCTACCTTCTTACATCAGCAATAACTGCCTAGGGAGCAGTGGAAAGGATTACGGAGCTACACAACATCCAACAGGCCCAAGTGACATGTTCAGAGAACTGTGACATTCTGTGTATTCAACTACCCAAAACCATAGATTTCTGTCTTTTGACCAACAAGGAACCCCAAGTTACTTCTTTTCAAAGACAAAACAGCACAGAAAGGCTTTATTCAAACTATAACCTAAAATGATTCTTCTAAAAATCTTTACGACTTTCTTGAGCTAATGAAAAACAACAGACTTAGGAAAAATAACTTTTTTTCTCTTTTCTTCAGGACATGTAACAGCACATATTTATTTATTACATAGATGAACTAAGCACTTACCTCTACAAGTTGTGATTTGTCATAATCTTTACGATGACGATAGATGCACTGACTAAGAAGAGAATATAATCTCTCAAGCTGATCAACTGTCAAATTGTTGCTTTTATCTACCAACAAATCAAGCAATTTCTAAGAAAAATTACAAGAGAATAAAAAGTAGTTTGATTTCCCTGGTCAAACAGAAACAATTATATTCAAATAGATAAAGAGCAAACATCATAAAGTATAAAAGTGAGATCTGAGATTAGAAGATTCTAGGGCTTAGTTATTACCAGGACCATTCCCATACTTTCAACCCCTCAAAATGTATATAACTCTTCTTTAGTAGAAGCCCTGAGACAATTATATCCCTGGTTAAATCAGAAGATTTTGAAAAATAATTTTATTCAATGCCTACAAATATTCAAAATCCTTCCATTCCTTTAGAACTGACTGGGAATAGCTAAGCTTACCTTCAATCTCTCACGATCAACTATAAGAGGTGGCACAGGCTCTGTCGGCTCTTCTGGAACCAGTTCCAGGCTTGTTGTTTTTGCCTGCTCTAAAATTAATTTACGATATTTCTTTACTTTAGAAGCACCTAAAATTAAGGGGGAAGGGAAATGCAATGCAGCAAGTTAAGAAAATAAGTCTTATGCATCTATAAATTCTTTTACCCACCACACCTCCTTTCTGGGATGAGGAAGATTATATTCTTTAAATGATAACTTTTTTTTTCTGTAAGAATACATAATCCAAACTAAAGAGAACTAAAACACAACTATGAAAGCCAAGACATACTAGGATACAGTCTAATAAGCATATCCATTAAAAGGAACAGAAAAGCAATCTTTGCCTCTATGTACTGACTTATATACAGCCTTCAACTCTCTTCATGGTTGCTATCATTTTAAAAGTAGAAGCTTTCAAAACTAGATAAAGGAAGAAAGCAACCTAGAAAAGCAGACACTGAATGGGGTCAGCTTGTCTACATGTTAGCTTCCCAACCTAAAATATTTTCCTCAACATTACATGATATTTAAAAAAATTTTTTTCTATTATATTGCCTAAAATTCTATTAGAGACTGGTCTGAGTTATGACATTTTTTATAAAAATATAAACCCATTATAAGTGTAACAGGGCTGCTAATCTTTCCTACCTTGTAGTAAATTAGTATAACCTAATTACTTTCCTCCAAATATGTTGCTGTGACTAATCAGACTGGAAAAAAAAAATAGAAATTTGGGGTAAGTAAGCTTAATTTCATAGTTCCGGGCACTTAGAGGAGTAGGGAGGCAACAACACTATGTCCCCCAAAGTAGGACTACTCTGGAGACTGACAGGGAAGGAACTTAAAGAAAACCTGGGCTGTTTCAGAAGTTCACACAGGACCTGGCTCATGTTAGGGACATTAAGAGGAAACTTCCTCCTCTGTCCTCCATTGATCTTTTTACTCACAAGTCTTTAAACTCTTCCTTCTTCTCCTCAAAGCCCGCTCTATAAATAAACAGTAAAAGAACCCAAGTGTTGCCTTTGACAACATTATATGTATGGTGATATATCAGAGAAATTTTATATTTCAAGCAGCCTTTAAAGTGAAAGGTTTGCCAGGCACGGTGGCATACTCCTGTAATCCCAGTGGCTCAGGAGGCTGAGACAGGATGATCCAAGAGTTCAAAGCCAGCCTCAGAAAAAGCAAGATGCTAAGCAACTCAGTGAGACCCTGTCTCTAAATAAAATACAAAACAGGGCTAGGGATGTAGCTCAGTGGTCGAGTGCCCC